TGTAAAAAAAAATCCCTGTTTTTTCGTATTTTACTTATAAATGGACTTAGTTTTTCTGCCAGGAAACATTACATTCACTCTGTGGTTAAAGTTTTTAAAATTTTAATAACTTTCTTAAACTACCCTGGATTTGTACCAAACATGGACAGAAGTTTGTTTATGATCAAAAGCTAGTATCTAGAAGGAAATTTTTATTAAAATTTTGTACTTGTTTATCCATATTTTACTTATAAATTAAATGGACTTAGTTTTTCTTCCAGTTAACATTACATACAGTCTGCAGTTAAATTTTTTAAAACATTTATTAGATTCATAAACTATCCTGGATTTTTACCAAACTTGGACAGAAGCTTCTTACAATAAAAAAATTGTATCGAGGGGAATATTTGTATTAAATATCATCTCATTGTCGAGCCTTCGACTTTTGTCGAAAAAGTGAGACATAGCGATCCTACATTCCGTCGGCGTCGTCGTCGTAGTCGTCGGTGGCATCCACAAATATTCACTCTGTGGTTAAAGTTTTTGAAATTTTAATAACTTTCTTAAACTATCCTGGATTTCTACCAAACTTGGAAAGAAGCTTGTTTATGATTAAAAGATAGTATCCAGAAGTAAATTTTGTAAAAAAAAAATTCCATTTTTTCCGTATTTTACTTATAAATGGACTTCTCGTTTTTCTGCCAGTTAACATTACATTCACTCTGTGGTTAAAGTTTTTAAAATTTTAGCAACTTTCTTAAACTATCCTGGATTTGTACCAAACTTGGACAGAAGCTTGTTTATGATTAAAAGCTAGTATCTAAAAGGAAATTTTGTTAAAATTTTGTTCAATTTTTTCCGTATTTTACTTATAAATGGACTTAGTTTTTCTTCCAGTTAACATTACATACAGTCTGCAGTTAAAGTTTTTAAAACATTTATTAGATTCATAAACTATCCTGGATTTGTACCAAACTTGGACAGAAGCTACTTACAATCAAAAGATGGTATAGAAAGGAATATTTTTATTAATTTTTTTCCTCATTTTTGTTGAGCCTGCGATTAACAGCAAAAGTAGGCGAGACACTGGGTTCCGCGGAACCCTTACGAATTTTTTTTGTTGAGCCTGCGATTAACAGCAAAAGTAGGCGAGACACTGGGTTCCGCGGAACCCTTACAAATTTTTTTGTACATGTACATTGTACCCGCCCTTCAAAGCAATAAATTGCTCCCTCCTGCCATTTCAACAATAAACTTAATCAAATTACATGTCTATCAGCATTTCTGGTAAACTTGTTAGGGCACAGGATGTTTGTGCTTTTTTAACTGTAACACAATAGGACATTTGTGCTCAAAACACTATGGACATTTGCGCTTTAAATTTTGATACACCTGTATAAAATTGACCGGACATTTGCGCTTTTTACCTATAGTCGTCTACCTGTAATTTTAATGAGTTGTAATCATTATGGGAAAAATGTATATGACTTTTGTCACAATGGATTTTTATCATTGACACCAGTCGGTTATTTATATTAAAATTGTTATATTGAAGAACAGGCACCTCAGGCAAAAATTGAGAAAGAGAAACTATAATATTTATTTGAAATGTGGGCGAAATACCAGTCAGGACAGATTACAAGAGCTAAGGGACAAGGTTCACTTTAGGCCAAATATGGCCTTGGATTTTCAACTTAATCATAAAATTTCAAAATGGCCATAATTTGGTTCTTAAATGGATCTATTTTAAAAGATTTACTTTGTCAAAAGAAATCTTTTCATAAGAGACATTTTGGCTTCAAAATAAGCACATTTTGGATAAATTGTCAAAATACAACGATTTTGTGCATTTTTCGGACCTAAAAGCTTGAGGAAACCCTTGGCTGCAACCTAGGATCCAAATTGTTCTGTAACTAATAGTTGCCAATGATCATATGGAATCCCTAGACACAAAATCTTTCTGGATCCTGGGTGGCGGCCAAAGTAAATTATGGTAAAAACTTTTAAGAATTATTGAAAATTTGACCAAAACTGACATTAAACTCAAATAATGCATACCTAAAGAGTCAATACTTTGTCATTTTTATACGACCGCAAAATATTTTGGGGTCATATATTGCTATTGCGTCACAATACCACAAATGGAAGGTTGGGATTGATTTTGGAGGTTATGGTACCAACAGTCTAGGAATTAGGGGCCAAAAACAAGCATTTTTGTAGTTTCCGGACAATAACTTGTGTGTTAGTGTATAGATCTCTCAGAAATTGTACCACAAGGTTCCATATCACAAAGGGAAGGCTGGGATTGAGTTTGGGGGTAATTGCCCCAATGGTCCAGGAATTAGGGGCAAAAAAAGGGGCCAAAAACAAGCATTTTTCTAGTTTCCAGACAGTAACTTGTGTTTAAGTGTATGGATCTCTCTGAAATTGTACTACAAGGTTCCATACCACAAAGGGAAGGCTGGGATTAATTTGGGTGTAATTACTCCAAGGGGGAGGGGGTTCAAAAAGTTTGGGAGGATTTTTTTTTCCAATTTTTTTGGGGGTTCATATTTTTTTTCTTCAAAATTTTGGAAATTTCAAATGATTGCATAGTATTGCGCAATAACAAGAAATCTTCAATTGCACAGTATTGCGCAATAGCAAGAAATCTTCAATTGCACAGTATTGGGCAATAGTAAGAAATCTCCAATTGCACAGTATTGCGCAATAGCAAGAAATCTTCAATTGCACAGTATTGCACAATAGCAAGAAATCTTCAATTGCGCAATAGCAAGAAATCTTCAATTATACAGTATTGCACAATAGCAAGAAATCTTCAATTGGCCAGTATTGTGAATAGCACAGTATTGTGCAAGAAATCTTCAATTGCACAGTATTGCGCAATAGCACAGTATTGCACAATAGCAAGAAATCTTAAATTGCACAGTATTGCTCAATAGCAAGAAATCTTCAATTGAAAATAAATACAAATCTTTTAACCAATTTCAATGGGATTAATCTAAAGTCTGTAATTTTTGGGGGTTCTCACCTTGTATTACTTTTTTGTATATTGGGCCCCATTTTTAAATTGGTCTACATTGAGGTCAATAGGGTCCAAAATTAAACTTTGTTTGATTTCATCAAAAACTGAATTATTGTGGCTGTATGATATGCTGAATCTTATTGTGCATTTAGATTTTTATATGCCTGTTTACGGGACTTATTATGGTATACCGTTCTGTCTGTCCGTCCGTCGTCAAAATGTCGGACATTAACTCAAAAACACTTTAAATGATTATATGCATGAAACTTTGGTGAATTGTTTATATCTATTGACGTGAGCTCCCTTTCGTTTTTTATAAATTTCAGATTTACCGTTTTTGAGTTTTGGGGTTTTGTTCATTAAAAAAGGGGTATTTTCCAGTTTTCCAACAATAACTCAACAATGCTTTCACCAACTTGCAAGAAATTTTGGTGAATTGTTTATATCTATTGACATGAGCTCCCTTTCGATTTTTATAAATTTTAGATTTTACATTTCTGAGTTATGGGGTTTTATTCATTAAAAAAGTGGGGATTTTCCAGTTTTTGGACAATAACTCCAAAATGCTTTAAGCAGATCGCATGAAACTTTGGTGAATTATTTTTAGCTATTGATGTAATCTCCCTATTGATTTCCATAAATTTCAAGTGTGACATTGAGAAGAAATTGAACTTTATTTGTTTATAGTCTGACAACAGATTTACTAAGTATTGCGCAACAGCACAGTGTATTGTACATTTTTGTGTACAACAGCAAGAAATCTTTAATTGAATATAAATTCAATTCATATAACCAATTTCAAGTTCTTTGACTACATTTATTCAGAAACCTATAATATGTCAAATATTTAATTACAATCCAAATTCAGACCTGTATCAAGCATGAATATTGTGTCCATTTTTGTCCCAACTGTTCAGTGTTGGACCTCTGTGGGCTTATCCAGCTGAGCTCAGCGAAGCAGTTGATTTATTTTGGGCCCTGTTTTCAAATTAGTCCATATTAAGGTTTGAAGGGTCTAGAATTAAACTTTGTTTGATTTCAACTAAAATTAAATTTTTGGTGTTTATTTATATATGCTGAATCTAACCATGTTGTTAGATTTTGGATGTCAGACCATTCTAGGTAGATTAAATGTCCCATCTCAAATTTTTAAGATCTTTGACCACATTTATTTTGTGTCAGAAACCTATGTTATGTCAAAAAATTGATCACAATCCAAATTCAGACAGTATCAAGCTTGAATATTGTGTCCAAACTTGCCTTAACTGTTCAGGGTTAGACCTATGTGGTCGTATCTGGCTGCGCTCAGCGAAGCAATTTATTGTACCAATGTGTTCCTTGGTTTTTGCCCTTTGGATATCATTCACAGTCCAAATTTCCTGACATAAAGTCATTGTATAAATAAAAAAAAATCCACAGTTTTCTATTCACTGAAATTTGTGACATACCGTGATTAGCATTCTTGGACACCGCCTATTACTCGTAACCTGAATATTTCATGCCCTTCTAGCTATAGTAATCAATCTATATTCTCAGAAGATAATGTTATCATCATTAAGCAGAAGAATATGTCATGTATGTCGACTTATATTACTCGAAGAAATATGAAAACCGAAATTTGAAACAGGAAGTTTTGAATGAAACGAAATTATCTGCCGGTAATGGAATTGAACAAAATCCAAAAATCGTAATTTTTTTTTAATGAAAAAAATCGGGGCAGGACAATTTCAGAGGGGCGAGCGGGAATGAAAATCTTTTCAAACGGCATGATAAGATGAAAGATATTTGTTATCCTGATCAATATTATGATTTTTGTTTAGAATTTATTATTGAATTTTCTTATGTTACTTATTTTTTAGGTGTTATACACCATATATATTTAATATATATATATATATATATTGTTAGTTCTATCAATTTACAAAATGGCCTGACGCCGTTGTAAGAATGATCATTGACCTAAGACATTCTATACATATATGTATATACTTTGCAGGTGATTTGAAAATAACTGATAATATACCATCACCATACAGATTGATAGCTGGAAGTCAGTTTTCATTAACTTGTGAATATGATGGAGGAAATGATCAAACAGAGATTTCATTTGAAAAAGATGGCCATCTGGTAGGCCCACAGTTTAATAAGGCCATTAAGACAGTGGGGAATAAAGTGGTTCTGACAATAACGTTGAACAGACCAAATGGTGCAGAGATTGGTGATGGGGGAGAATTTGGTTGTAAATATGGAGTAATGAACAGTTTCAAACATACTGTTGATATATTCGAAGGTAAGCACAATGTAGGTTCAAACCAGGGCTTCCAAAATTATTTTTTGGCAGCCGGACATTTTATATATTATCCCGATTTTAATCCCTTAAGACTAAATAAACAAAAGGCAATTATGGTAATCAGTTGTCGAGTTTGCCATCCCAATGATTGACATTAAAAAAAATGATATTAAACTTTCTTTGATTCAAATTCGAAGTTCTGACGTAAACTGTTAAATTGGCAGTGCAACATCAGTGTACTTATATCTGCCTTAGACTCTTTATTTGTGCAAAATAACGTTGTCAAAAACTTTACTTTCGTTTCTATACTGGATGTTATTTTGACAATGGTAAAACGGACCAGAGACAGATACGTAAATTCCGTGTACGTTTGCAAAGCGTGAATGAGTGGAAGTAGCTCTTTCTACGTTATTTCTTCAAGAAAATATTCGAAATAAACGTGAGATAAAGGTATCAATGACAATTAAAGCATTTTTTGAAGAAATTAGGATGCATAATTAAATTTCACACCTGCGCACACGTGTACTAGTTCAAACAGAGACATGTCTCTAGGTTCAAACAACGTGGTTATGACGATTTTTCATTTTCACCTTTTTAATTTTTTCATCAAATCATATTTGTAAACGTATTTCTAATAATTTAAATCTTTTTGACTAAATTAATTAGATGCAAACCGCTGAAATGTAAGAAAATAACTTTGAATAGACCGATCAATGTCCGGTTCAAAATAGTTTACCTGTCACCTGAACAGGTAAATTTCAGCTGTTTGACAACTAATTAGCCTTGATTAAAATGAGAAGGTATTAAAGTAGGGGTTGTTTTGATAGTACTTAATGATCATGTCACTTTTATGACCGGAAATGTGTGGCTGTTAAAGGCAAAACGTTGGGTCAAAAAGATTGCGAATTATGTTAAAATGACCGTCTCTTAAAGCCTTGAAAACTAAAAAGTAGATGACCGTTTCATGCTTTGCCCAGCCGGACTTTTACCGGACATTATACAAATGTTTGGCATATATGACCGTTTTGGAAGCCTTGGTTCAAACATACTATTGATATTGATTCTCATATAAGTAGGTTCAAACATACAGTTGATATATTCTCAGGTAAGTAGGTTCAAACATACTATTGATATAGATTCTCATATAAGTAGGTTCAAACATACTATTGATATAGATTCTCATATAAGTAGGTTCAAACATACAGTTGATATATTCTCAGGTAAGTAGGTTCAAACATACTGTTGATATATATTCTCAGGTAAGTAGGTTCAAACATACTGATATTTTCTCAGGTAAGTAGGTTCAAACATACTGTTGATATATTCTCAGGTAAGTAGGTTCAAACATAGTTATGTTATATTCTCAGGTAAGTAGGTTCAAACATAGTGTTGTTATATTCTCAGGGAAGTAGGTTCTAACATAGTTATGTTATATTCTCAGGGAAGTAGGTTCTAACATACTGTTGATATATTCTCAGGTAAGTAGGTTCAAACATACTGTTGATATATTCTCAGGTAAGTAGGTTCAAACATACTGTTGATATATTCTCAGGTAAATAGGTTCAAACATAGTGTTGTTATATTCTCAAGTAAGTAGGTTCAAACATACTGTTGATATATTCTCAGGGAAGTAGGTTCTAACATACTGTTGATATATTCTCAGGTAAGTAGGTTCAAACATACTGTTGATATATTCTCAGGTAAATAGGTTCAAACATAGTGTTGTTATATTCTCAAGTAAGTAGGTTCAAACATACTGTTGATATATTCTCAGGTAAGTAGGTTCTAACATACTGTTGATATATTCTCAGGTAAGTAGGTTCAAACATACTGTTGATATATTCTCAGGTAAGTAGGTTCAAACATACTGTTGATATATTCTCAGGGAAGTAGGTTCTAACATACTGTTGTTATATTCTCAAGTAAGTAGGTTCAAACATACTGTTGATATATTCTCAGGGAAGTAGGTTCTAACATACTGTTGTTATATTCTCAGGTAAGTAGGTTCAAACATACTGTTGATATATTCTCAGGGAAGTAGGTTCTAACATACTGTTGTTATATTCTCAGGTAAGTAGGTTCAAACATACTGTTGATATATTCTCAGGGAAGTAGGTTCTAACATACTGTTGTTATATTCTCAGGTAAGTAGGTTCAAACATAGTGTTGTATATTCTCAGGTAAGTAGGTTCAAACATACTGTTGATATATTCTCAGGGAAGTAGGTTCTAACATACTGTTGATATATTCTCAGGTAAGTAGGTTCAAACATACTGTTGATATATTCTCAGGTAAGTAAGTTCAGACTATATTCATGACATTATACCGTATAATAAGAAGAAGATGTAAATGAGGGATGTCAAATTAGTCAATTCTTTTCTATAATCTATTTCACAAATTAAGATTCAATTGATTTAATTCTCTTAACTGCAATTGACTCAACTGATATAATTTGGTCAATTCTTCCCTGTACATGAAGTGCAATTGACTCAACTGATTTGTTAAATTGATCTCTGTACATGTAGTACAATTGAACAAATTGACTCAGTCCAGTTAGAAAGCCAAAAGAGACATTTCTTCTCCATTCATATTAATATTTATGATATAACCATACATTTATCCTTCTTTTCACAAAACAGAAGTAAATTTGTTATTATACTAGTGTTAAAATATTTCCAACATATTTATTTAATTGATAACTTTTGTCAGAGCATGCAGAATGACTCAGAACAGTATATGAAAGATAATAACTTTCCAGAAAAAAAGATTCAAAATTTTCATAGGATTAATTACAGGGTTGCCAAAACCCCAGGTTTTATGAGTATTGCCCGGCCCAGTGGGAAATACTGGGAAAACCCAGGTTTTACTGGGTAATACCAGGCAATACTGGGCAAAATGAAATACTGGCCTGAATTTTAAAGAGGATAAAATGAGAAACTTTTATGTATTTCAATATTTTTCAGTAAAACCAACAGAGGCAGTGGTACCTGTTAAAACGGAGAAAGACAAAACTGGCAAAACTGTGGAATTAAAATGTGAACCAACCTTTGAGAGTATAGCATCAGCACATGACAACAAATATACCATGGAATGGTTCAAAGATGGAAAACAATTGTCTGAAATCGAATCACTGAAGGGACGGTACAGCGAAGACAATAGTAGTCTCACAATCACCAAAGCTAGTAAGCAATTATCTATTTTCCTTGCTTGTTACCAAAGCTCTCTTTATCATGTTTTTCCTGTCTATGAGTAAAACATATTGATTCAGCATGTTAGTCTGTGAGTCTTTATGCTTGTCTGTCATAAAAATTGTAACTGCAAAATTGAAGTTTGCATACCAATGGTAGGATTGCTTCATACCATGTGTAGTTGTGCATATAAAAATGTGTCAAATCACTTTATCTTCAGCAACCTTAACTCTAAAAAGCAGTGTAAGCTATAGCCATCTTTTGGCATACTTTCACTGTAGTCAAATTTCCATTTAAAAAGTCTTCAAATTTTGATTTTCTCTGAAACTATTGCAACAATTGAAACCAAACTGAAGAAAATACAAAGTGAATGTGCTTTTAAAAATTCGTAAGGGTTCCGCAGAACCCAGTGTCTCGCCTACTTTTTCTGTTAATCGCAGGCTCAACAAAAATGAGGAAGTAAATCAATAAAACTATTCCTCTTGATACTAACTTTTGATTGTAAGAAGCTTCTGTCCAAGTTTGGTAAAAATCCAGGATAGTTTATGAATCTAATAAATGTTTAAAAACTTTAACTGCAGACTGAATGTAATGTTAACTGAAAGAAAACAAAATTTCCTTCTAGATACTAGCATTTGATCATAAACAAGCTTCTGTCCAAGTTTGGTACAAATCCAGAATAGTATAAGAAAGTTATTAAAATTTTAAAAACTTTAACCACAGAGTGAATGTGTTGTTTCCTGGCAGAAAATCTAAGTCCATTTAAAAGTAAAATACGGAAAAAATGGATTTATTTTTTTACAAAATTTCCTTCTAGATACTAGCTTTTGATCATAAACAATCTTCTGTCCAAGTTTGGTACAAATCCAAAATAGTATAAGAAAGTTATCAAAATTTTAAAAACTTTAACCACAGAGTGAATGTGTTGTTTCCTGGCAGAAAATCTAAGTCCATTTAAAAGTAAAATAAGGAAAAAATGGATTTTTTTTTTACAAAATTTACTTCTGGATACTATCTTATGATCATAAACATGCTTCTGTCCAAGTTTTGTTGGAATGCAGGATAGTTTAAGAAAGTTATTAAAATTTTAAAAACTTTAACCACAGAGTGAATGTAATATTTCCTGGCAGAAAAACTAAGTCCATTTATAAGTAAAATACGGAAAAAATGGAATTTTATTTTTACAAAATTTACTTCTGGATACTATCTTATGATCATAAACAAGCTTCTGTCCAAGTTTGGTAGAAATCCAGGATAGTTTAAGAAAGTTATTAAAATTTCAAAAACTTTAACCATAGAGTGAATATTTGTGGACGCCGCCAACGACGACGACGACGATGCCGACGGAATGTAGGATCGCTATGTCTTGCTTTTTCGACTAAAGTCGAAGGCTCGACAAAAAGCATCATTTTGTTCTGATCTGGTGAAAAATGCTCTTGATTCAAATATCTAAATTTTCTTATAAAACTTGAAAAACAACCTTTGAAAGAAGACTTTGTATGAATAATGACAGTGAGAATTCCACACGTATTTGTCTGTTTAAATGATCAATTTGAATTGGAATTAATATTTGCAAATAGTTTCTGATTAAACACCACATTTTTAAGATTCTGATATTACCATTTTAAGTTTCTTTTCCATTAAAACTGCAAAATCATCTGTTGTTTTTGTCTCGCCTGCGATGAAAATCAGTTTTCCTATCTGGCTAAAGCATCGTAAACTATTTGTATAAAACTTTATATTTCAGAAGGTAGTAGACCTGGATGCTTCATATTTCCATCTGTCATATGTCCATTGTCCTTGACCTCATATTCATGGTTCAGCGACTGCTTGAAAAAAAATTAAGAGTTTTTTGTCATGTGAATTTCTCACTTATTATGAGCAATAATAGGATAATTAATTTGGTAATATGGGTTTCTTGCAACATCTACATGTCCATCAGGCAGAGTTCGCCGGACCTCTATCTCATTTCATGGATCATTGATCAAGGTTAAAAGTTTAATGATTAGGTCTGTTTCTCAGAAACTATAACCAGTAACTCTATGTTGTGTATGGAATGATTGCAAGGGGTACATGTCAGTCTGACAGGTTTCATCTGGCCTTGACCTCATTTGCATGGTTCATTGGTCAATGTTTAGTTTTTATGCCCCTGCCGTAGTGGAGGGGGCATTAAGTTTTACCCTTGTCTGTCTGTACGTTAGTCCCAAAATTGGTTTTCGTTCTCTAACTTAAGTAAGCCTTAACCAAATGTTATAAAACTTATACACAATGCTTATTACCACATAATACAGATCAAGTTTGAATTTTGGTGGTGTCACTTTTACATTTCTAGAGTTATGCCCCTTTACAAATGGAAAAATTGCTGAATTTTTCATTTCCATTCTCTAACATAAGTTTGCCTCAACCAAATGTTATGAAACTTATACACAATGCTTATTACCTCAAAACTCAGATCAAGTACAAATTTTGGTAGCGTCACTTTTACCGTTCGTCATTTACAGATCGTCATTTACAGTTCGTCAGTTATGTCCCTTTATAGCTTTATATGATATCGATATGCAAGTGGGGGCATCATCTGTGACCCATGGACACATTCCCCATTTATTTGTGTTTTGGTCTGTTTTTCAAATACTATAAGCAGTAGGTCAACTATATTTGGTGTATGGAATGATTTTAAGATGTGCATGTCTGTCTGGCAGGTATTATCGACCTTGACCTCATTTTCATGGTTCATTGGTTAAGTTAAGTTAAGTTTTCCCATTTTGGTCTGTTTTTATACGACCGCAAAAAAATTTTTGTGGTCGTATATTGGTATGACGTTGGCGTCGTCGTCGTCGTCCGGCGTCGTCGTCCGAATACGCATTAGTTTTCGCACTCTAACTTTAGTTTAAGTGAATGGATCTCTATGAAATTTTACCATAAGGTTCAATACCACAAAAGGAAGGTGGGGATTGATTTTGGGGGTTATGGTACCAACAGTTAAGGAATTAGGGGCCAAAAAGGGGCCAAAAATAAGCATTTTCTAGTTTCCAGACAATAACTGTGGAACGGTGTATGGATCTCTCTGAAATTATACTACAAGTTTCCATACCACAAAGGGATGGTTAGGATTTGCTTTGGGGGGTTATTGCTCAAACCGTTTAAGAATTAGGGGCAAAAAAGGGGGAAAAACAAGGTTGTCCTCATTAATGGACAAATACTTTAGTACAAAACATAATTTAAAGCAGTGTAAGGGAGATAAATCAAATACATCATTGAAATTATCTCCCTTACACTGCTTTTAAATTATGTATAAAGTAATGGTTAATGAACAATTAAGATAATTTAAAACAGTGTAAGGGAGGTAATCCAAATACAACGTTTTGGTTACTTCCCTTACACTGCTTTTAAATTATGTTTAAAGAAATGCATATTTATTAAAGGAAGACCAGTATGGCGCATTAGATTTGTAAAATCTTTGACCACATTTATTTATTTGTTATGCCGAATCTAAACGTGTATTTAGATTTTTAATTTTGGGTCCAGTTTTCAAATTGGTCTACATTAAGGTCCAAAGGGTCCAAAATTAAACTTTGTTTGATTTTAACAAAAATTGAATATATGGGGTTCTTTGATATGCTGAATCTAAACATGTATTTAGATTTTTGATTTTTGGCCCAGTTTTCAAGTTGGTCCAAATTGGAGTCCAAAATTAAACTTTGTTTGATTTCAACAAAATTTGAATATATGGGGTTCTTTGATATGCTGAATCTTACCATGTATTTAGATTTTTTATTTGTGGACCCCGCTATCAAATTGGTTCATATTGAGGTCAAAAGGGTCCAAAATTAAACTTTGTTTGATTTCATCAAAAATTGAATTATTGGGGTTCTTTGATATGCCAAATCTAACTGTGTATTTAGATTTTTAATTTTGGGTCCCGTTTTTTAAATTGGTCTACATTAAGGTCCAAAGGGTCCAAAATTAAACTTAGTTTGATTTTAACAAAAATTGAATTCTTGGGGTTCTTTGATATGCTGAATCTAAACATGTATTTAGATTTTTGATTATGGGCCCAGTTTTCAAGTTGGTCCAAATCGGGGTCCAAAATTAAACTTTGTTTGATTTCAACAAAAATTGAATATATGGGGTTCTTTGATATGCTGAATCTAACCATGTATTTAGATTTTTGATTTTTGGGCCCCGTTATCAACTTTGTCCACATTGAGGTCAAAAGGGTCCAAAATTAAACTTTGTTTGATTTCATCAAAAATTGAATTATTGGGGTTCTTTGATATGCCGAATCTAACCGTGTATTTAGATTCTTAATTTTTGGTTCCGTTTTCAAATTGGTCTACATTAAGGTCCAAAGGGTCCAAAATTAAACTTAGTTTGATTTTAACAAAAATTGAATTCTTAGGGTTCTTTGATATGCTGAATCTAAACATGTATTTAGATTTTTGATTATGGGCCCAGTTTTCAAGTTGGTCCAAATCGGGGTCCAAAATTAAACTTTGTTTGATTTCAACAAAAATTGAATATATGGGGTTCTTTGATATGCTGAATCTAACCATGTATTTAGATTTTTGATTTTTGGGCCCCGTTATCAACTTTGTCCACATTGAGGTCAAAAGGGTCCAAAATTAAACTTTGTTTGATTTCATCAAAAATTGAATTATTGGGGTTCTTTGATATGCCGAATCTAACCGTGTATTTAGATTCTTAATTTTTGGTTCCGTTTTCAAATTGGTCTACATTAAGGTCCAAAGGGTCCAAAATTAAACTTAGTTTGATTTTAACAAAAATTGAATTCTTAGGGTTCTTTGATATGCTGAATCTAAACATGTATTTAGATTTTTGATTATGGGCCCAGTTTTCAAGTTGGTCCAAATCGGGGTCCAAAATTAAACTTTGTTTGATTTCAACAAAAATTGAATATATGGGGTTCTTTGATATGCTGAATCTAACCATGTATTTAGATTTTTGATTTTTGGGCCCCGTTATCAACTTTGTCCACATTGAGGTCAAAAGGGTCCAAAATTAAACTTTGTTTGATTTCATCAAAAATTGAATTCTTGGGGTTCTTTGATATGCTGAATCTAACCATGTATTTAGATTTTGGATATTGGACCATAATAGGTGAATGTCCAATTTAAAATTTTTAAGTTCTTAGACCACATTCAATCTGTGTTAGAAACCTATGCTGTGTCAAATATTTAATCACAATCCAAATCCAAAGCTGTATCAAGCTTGAATGTTGTGTCCATACTTCCCCCAACTGTTCAGGGTTCGACCTCTGCGGTCGTATCAAGCTGTGCCCTGCGGAGCATTTTATTAGATTTTTAATTTTGGGTCCCGTTTTTTAAATTGGTCTACATTAAGGTCCAAAGGGTCCAAAATTAAACTTAGTTTGATTTTAACAAAAATTGAATTCTTGGGGTACTTTGATATGCTGAATCTAAACATGTGTTTAGATTTTTGATCATGGGACCAGTTTTCAAGTTTGTCCAAGTTGGGGTCCAAAATTAAACTTTGTTTGATTTCAACAAAAATTGAATATATGGGGTTCTTTGATATGCTGAATCTAACCATGTATTTTGATTTTGGACATTGGACCATAATAGGTAAATTAAAAAAAATTGAAGTTCTTAGACCACATTCTTTCTGTGTCAGAAACCTATGCTGTGTCAAATATTTAATCACAATCCAAATTCAGAGCTGTATCAAGCTTGAATGTTGTATCCATACTTGCCCCAACTGTTCAGGGTTCGACCTCTGCGGTCGTATCAAGCTGCGCCCAGCGAAGCATTTTATTCAAATACTATAAGCAGTAGGTCAACTATATTTGTTGTATGGAATGATTGTAAGGTACATGTCTATCTGGCAGATTATCCGCCCTTGACCTCATTGCCATGGATATTTAAAAATGTTAAGTTAATGTGATACATGTAGTAAAACCTTTATCTTTAAGACTTTCTACATAAAATCAATGGTCAGTAAAGCAGGCAAGACATTTCAGTGTGTGCACTCTTGTTTCTTTAACTCTGAAGAATTAGTAATTGAATGAGAAACAAACTACACAGAATCCTATCTTTGATCTCATCAGGTTGCATACCTGGTAGCAATAATGGAACACAATTTCTCATTGACCTTACATGCAATAACATTAAAGCATTTTTATTTTCTTGTTGAAATAATATCCTAAATCAAACTTGACAGGCCTAGGAAGGTTCATTATTGAAAGTTTGACAATTTGACACATTACATATATATATATATAACAAGAATTTTGTGCCTCTAATTATAAATATTTCCTAATCATGTTATGATTATAATTCTCTATTTACAGAACGTGATGATATGGGAAAATACCAGTGTGTTTTTGTATTCGCCGATAACAACGACAGAATTAATCAGACTGTCTTGTTGAAAGGTATGAGCTAAGTTAAATATTTTAGAGATATACGCGGAGACAGGTAAATGGATATTTGCGACAGTAAAACTACCGATGGACGTCTGCAAAGCTTCAAATATAATACAGTTATCTCTATTCTAATGCAAAATAAACAAATTTAGTCATTCAATGTAAAATTTCCATTAAACAAAAATTCGGCGAAATGATGTTATCTTCTTTGGCGCCTAAACTAGGTGACGTCATAGGTATGCTTCAGGCATCATATGTAAACACCATGCGTTTTCTGGTTTCTTGTCCACTTCAGAATGTAATAAAATTTGATAAAATGAAGATTTCTATGTGTAAAATGAGAGTTTTTATACCCCGCTTTAAAAAAGTGGGGGGATACTGTTTTACCTCTATCTGTCCATCCATCCATCCGTCTGTCAGTCCATCCATTCGTCCATCCGTCAGTCTGTCCGTCCTTCCCATGAATATTTTTCGTTCCATCTTTCTCAGGAACTACATCATAAGGATTTCTGAAATTTGGTCTCAGGGTTTATATAAGTCAGCTATACCGTGTGATACATTTTCAGATTCATTACTCAACAACTTCCTGTTTACTGAACACTTTTATCATTTTACACATGATAGCCCAGTTGAAAATTTTCATCATTTTTTTCAGGAACTACAATACAAGGATTTCTGAAATTTGGTTTCAGGGTTTATATAAGTCAGCTTTACCTTGTGATGCATTTTCAGATTCATCACTCAACAACTTCCTGTTTACCGAAATATTTGGGCAGGGGTATGATCAGTGAACAGTAGCTCACACTTTCACTTGTTTTGCTTATTATTGGAGAAATTACATGTCAGTACATTCCGGTATTCCAAATGTTGGCTTCCTTCGTTACAGACAGGAAGATAGAGAATTTTACTCTTATTGTCATCCAATCAGAAACATTGATACAAAATAATTGCATTAGAATTTTGGTTAACCTATAACCACCAAGAATGATGATGAATCCACAGCATTATGTTATGACTTGTAAGGTATAATACATGCAGGTATATATCTGTATTGCACATGCATTCAAAGTGTACTGAAGTTCAACATATATTTTTGATAGATGAGGAGGAGTAATTATATTCCAAGTTTAGTCATTTCTTATGAATATAAACTATTGCTGTAACTCGATTTGTTAAAAAGGAAACATAGAAATGCAGGAATAGATAAAAAAAAATAGAAACACAGTATTTGTCTGGATATCTTGATACTTAAGAACATATTAGGAAAAAATAGTTTCTTCTTAAAATTTTCCTTTAATCAACCCAAAGTACTGTTGATGTTTAAAAAAGAATGGTAATAAACATTTGTACATCTTGTAGCAAAAAAGATCAGTTACATGCATTTTCATAATAATCAATGGAAACAAAGAAGATAACAAATTCAAGTAAATGAAAAGTCTTATGAGAAGTTACTTGGTCAAGTGTAACAATATAACCATTTTTCATTGAATTTAATTTATAGCTGTACACTAAAAATAATGTTGACCTACATTTAATAAAACTGTTCTAATGAATTTCCATGTTGTATCAAATAAACTAAGTAGCATGTGTCTAAATTGAACTTGTTTAAAATGGAAATCTGTCTTAATCACTTGACTATATTAACACGATATTATGTCCCAGATGGGTTTGTTCTGTAAGGACTTAATGCATAGAACAGATCTAAAAACAAAGTAATTTATGTATGTTTTATAATTGTCATCTTATACATTTGTAGTTCAGACATTACATGTTTATCATTACCAATATAAGATGATGCTGTGTATTCAAGGTACATTTTTTTTAATTCATAAATATATTTTGATCATTGCATAACCATTATTGAAAATTTCCAGTTTTGTGTTTTTGATTATTTAAAGGAACTCCAATGATTGACTCCTCATTTCCCCCGTCTAAGAACCTAGTTCAAGGAGATGATTGGAGGATCACATGTAAAGTTACAGGATTTCCTTACCCAGAAGTCTACTGGTCAAAAGAAGGAGAGCCACTACCTGATGACACTAGAATCCATCTTGAAGATGATGGACCTTATGTTGGTGCAAAGCTCCTCATTTACAGCTTGACCTTTGAAGATCAGGGAAACTATGAATGTCATTCTAACTCAACCTCTGCCTTTAATGGTACCTCAGCTACAGTTAAATTGAGGGTCAAAGGTAACACCAACACTACTCATTATGCAATGAGTTTTATTTTACTATTGATTGATTTGACACAAAAGCAAATAAAAAAGGGGGGGTAAATTTTTTATTTTTTTGGGGGGAGAGGGGGGATCAATTCGCAACAGCAAAGTGTATTGCACAAAAGCAAAAAATTGAATATAAATTCAAATCATATAACCAATTCTAAGTTAATTGACTACAGTTATTCTGTGTCAGAAACCTTTTATGTGTCAAATATTTAATTACAACCAAAATTCAGACCTGTATCAAGCGCGAATATTGCGTCCAATTTTGCCCCAACTGTTCAGGGTTGGACCTCTGTGGTCGTATCCAGCTGCGCTAGGCAAAGCAATTTATTAATGGAAGGGTGTTATAGACATATTTTATATAACTTGTTCAAGTAGATAATCCTTAATTATATAATGAACTGAATAAATAAAAGTGCAAGGTATTTGAATATGTTTGAAATACACCTAAGTAGTAGAAGCAAGGAAAGCACTATTCCGTACAAATGTATTTGCAATAAGATTAAATGATATGAATTTTTGAGTTACAGCTTGTGTTTAGAGGATTTCAAAATTACCAAGTTTTAAATTCACATGGGAGATAGTAAAAATTGTACCTGTTAAGAATGATAACCTGCTTTTAAATGATGCAAAGTCCCAACAAAATTCAAATCTAATAGGCACCTATAAGTTCTTCTACACTTGTAGAGCTGTTTATTTGTGTAATTGTAAGGAAATATAACATGGTAAATCCAGTATTATCATTTAGAAGTCAAACTACTGTCAACAACAAAAAAAAGTGTCTAGCAACTGTTAAGCTCTTAATTTGCCCTGAGTTCAGACATGTTGTGAGTTAAATAAAGATTAGACAATAAACAATTCAGATAGACACTAAGAATAACAAGGTTCCTGACTTTCAAATATGTATACTCCAGAAACAAATATAATGATTCATGTTATATTTTTTTACTCCAGATTACAGAATTATATGAAAATAATATTTCTGTGTAACGGTAATTGAAGATTCATTTAATTGTTGACATGTGACAGCAGGTAAAATTATCAAAATAAAAGTAAAATAACAAAAATACCAAACTCCAAGGAAAATTCAAATTGGAAAGTCCCTTATCAAATGGCAAAATCAATCAAACGAATGGAAAACAACGGTCATATCCCTGACTTGGTACAGGCATTTCCTTATGTAGAAAATGGTGGATTAAACCTGGTTAATTGAATACAATAAACCTTGCAGAACACAATGCACACTGTGTAATATGTTACAAAAAATTCTTGAGGTTTGTCAAATACATCTAGGTTATTGTTAAATTTGAAATTTTGCGGAAAATGTTGACCTTGAAAAGTCAGCTCAATCGATGCTCTAATAGGATTATGTCTCTGGAATATAAAAAAACAACTAACCCATTCCAATATAGGTAATTATAGAAATATTGGTATTATACTTACATGAAGGCAACGATAGAAATAAACCTTTGACACAGAGATATGTCTCGCCTGTCGGCATAAAATTCATAAAAAAAAGACAATCTGATGGACAGCAACATGGTATATTAATATAGTCGCTGGATCATTATCTAGTGCTGTTCCTTGAAATTGTTGCTGAAGTCATAATTATGTTTTTGTATATTACAGATCGTCTTGCCACCTAGTGGCTGTTCCTTGGAATTGTTGCTGAAGTCATTGTTATGTTTTTGTATATTACAGATCGTCTTGCCGCCTAGTGGCTGTTCCTTGGAATTGTTGCTGAAGTCATTGTTATGTTTTTGTATATTACAGATCGTCTTGCCACCTAGTGGCTGTTCCTTGGAATTGTTGCTGAAGTCATTGTTATGTTTTTGTATATTACAGATCGTCTTGCCACCTTGTGGCCGTTCCTTGGAATTGTTACTGAAGTCATTATTATGTTTTTTATATTACAGATCGACTTGCCACCTTCTGGCCCTTCCTTGGAATTGTAACTGATGTCATTATTATGTTTTTGTATATTACAGATCGTCTTGCCGCCTTGTGGCCGTTCCTTGGAATTGTTGCTGAAGTCATTATTCTGTGCATCATTATATTTATCTATGAGAAGAAGAAGAGCAAAGAGATGGAAGATGAAGTTGACTCCCCTGCCACTGATGAGTATGTTTATTCTGTATTATATATTACATGAGGCAATAACAAGTTTGGTTGAAGAAAGGGATGGGTGTATGTTTATTCTGTATTAACTATCACATGAGGCAATAACAAGTTTGGTTGAAGAAAGGGATGGGTGTATGTTTATTCTGTATTATATATTACATGAGGCATATTTTATGAAACATATACATAATGCTTATTACCACCAAATACAGATCAAGTTTGAATTTTGTTAGCATCACTCTAACTGTTCTAGAGTTATGCCCCTTTATAAATGGAAAAATTACAAAATTTTTAGTTTCCGTTCTCTTACTTAAGTTTGCCTCAACCAAATGTTATGAAACTTACACACAATGCTTATTACCACAAAACACAGATCAAGTTTGAATTTTGGTGTTGTCACTTTAAGTGTTCTAGAGTTGTGCCCTTTATAAATGGAAAAATTGCAAAATTTTTAGTTTCCGTTCTCTAACTTAAGTTTGCCTCAACCAAATTTTATGAAACATATACACAATGTTTATTACCACAAAATAAAGATCAAGTTTGAATTTTGGTGGGGTCACTATAACCATTCTCGAATTATGCCCCTTTATAAATGGAAAAAAATGCAAAAGTTTTAGTTTCTGTTCTCTAGCTTAAGTTGCCTCAACCAAATGTTATAAAACTTAAACACAATGCTTTTTACCACAAAACACAGATCAAGTTGAATTTAGGTAGCGTCACTTTAATCATTATCGAGTTATGTCCCTTTATAAATCCAAAAATTGCAGTTTGCCCCAATCAAACATTATGAAACCTATACACAATACTTATTACCTTAAAACTCTGATCAAGTACAAATTTGGGTAGCATCACTTTTATCGTTCTTGAGTTATGTCCCTTTATGTATGCAAGCGGGGGCATCATCTGTGTCCATGGGGACACATTCTCCATTTATTTTTCTATTACCTTTTACATTTATTGCCGAAAAATAAATATAGAATAGTGCCATTTTTATACGACCGCAAAAAAATTTTTCGATCTTATATTGGTATGACGTTGGCCTCTTCGTCGTCCGAAGACACAGTGGTTTTCGCACTCTAACTTTAGTTTAAGTGAATGGATCTCTATGACATTTTACCATAAGGTTCAATACCACAAAAGGAAGGTAGGGATTGATTTTGGGGGTTATGGTACAAACAGTTAAGGAATTAGGGGCCAAAAATAAGCATTTTTGTAACTTCCAGACATAACTTGTGTGTTAGTGTATGGATATCTCTGACATTGTACCACAAGTTTCCATATCACAAAGGGAATGCTGGGATTAATTTTGGGGGTAATTGCCTCAAAATTTTAGGAATTAGGGGGCAAAAAACAAGCATTTTTATATGGACAAATACTTTAGTACAAAACATAATTTAAAGCAGTGTAAGGGAGATAAATCAAATACATCATTTGAATCACCTCCCTTACACTGCTTTTAAATTATGTATAAAGTAATGGTTAATGAACAATTAAGACAATTTAACAGTGTAAGGGAGGTAATCCACATACAACGTTTTGATTACTTCCCTTACACTGCTTTAAAATTATGTTTAAAGAAATGCATATTTATAAAGGAAGACCAGTAAAAATATCTGCAAATGTTGCATCTTTTTTTTTTTACAAAAAAATCCATAAAAAGAAATTGTGGGGGGTCCATTTTTTCTCATTTCAGATTTCAGAAATTAAAAAGAATTATTCTTCAAATATTATTTTTTTTTTCAAATTTCAAATATTGAAAAATTTCAAGAAGTAACCTTTAAGGATGTTCGCTCCTCTTGTTTTTGAACTTTTGCCAGATTTTCGGAATCCTCTGGTTTTATCCATGTGTTGCCATTAAAAATTTGTGTCCACTTACCCCTACATTTCTTTTCAAAATTTTATTACATATTGTTTTAAAAGCCATATTTGGAAATCTTATAAAATCCTTGTTATTTTTTCATAGTTTTTAAAAGAGAAAACTTGACAATGTTAAAAGTATGAAAAATCTAGAGAGAATCATTTCCCGCCAAATTTTTAATGGCTTATATCTCGAAAACAAGCACACGCACCCTTTATTTTTTTCTGTTTTTTTAGTTTCTTTATGTATATACTATCAATTTATAACAGTCTTTTAAAAAGCTTGTTATATTAAAACTGAGTAGCGAACATCCTTAATTGCACAGTATGGCGCATTAGATTTGTAAAATCTTTGACAACATTTATTTGTTATGCCAAATCTGACCGTGTATTTAGATTTTTAATTTTGGGTCCAGTTTTCAAATTGGTCTACATTAAGGTTCAAAGGGTCCAAAATTAAACTTAGTTTGATTTTAACAAAAATTGAATATATGGGGTTCTTTGATATGCTGAATCTAAACATGTATTTAGATTTTTGATTTCAGGCCCAGTTTTCAAGTTGGTCCAAATTGGGATCCAAAATTAAACTTTGTTTGTTTTCAACAAAAATTGAATATATGGGGTTCTTTGATATGCTGAATCTAACCATGTATTTAGATTTTTTATTTGTGGGCTCCGCTATCAAATTGGTTCATATTGAGATCAAAAGGGTCCAAAATTAAACTTTGTTTTATTTCATCAAAAATTGAATTATTGGGGTTCTTTGATATGCCAAATCTAACCATGTATTTAGATTTTTAATTTTGGGTCCCGTTTTTTAAATTGGTCTACATTAAGGTCCAAAGGGTCCAAAATTAAACTTAGTTTGATTTTAACAAAAATTGAATTCTTGGGGTTCTTTGATATGCTGAATCTAAACATGTGTTTAGATTTTTGATTATGGGCCCAGTTTTCAAGTTGGTCCAAGTTGGGGTCCAAAATTAAACTTTGTTTGATTTCAACAAAAATTGAATATATGGGGTTCTTTGATATGCTGAATCTAACCATGTATTTTGATTTTTGGGCCCCGTTATCAAATTGGTCCACATTGAGGTCAAAAGGGTCCAAAATTAAACTTTGTTTGATTTCATCAAAAATTGAATTCTTTGGATTCTTTGATATGCTGAATCTAACCATGTATTTAGATTTTGGATATTGGACCATAATAGGTAAATTAAAAAATTTTAAGTTCTTAGACCACATTCATTCTGTGTCAGAAACCTATGCTGTGTCAAATATTTAATCACAATCCAAATTCAGAGCTGTATCAAACTTGAATGTTGTGTCCATACTTGCCCCAACTGTTCAGGGTTCGACCTCTGCGGTCGTATCAAGCTGCGCCCAGCGGAGCATTTTATTGTTTTTGATACTGAATTTATTAGCAAGAATATCAAGTGAGCCCGCTAGGGTCAGTATCAAAATGTAAAATGCCATTATTCTTTTTATTGGCAATTTGTATTAACAGTTTGTTGTTTTTGTTAAATGAAATGAAATAGTTAAACTATTTTATGTGTACAAAACGTTGTGAAGTTATTCGGTTGTATGAATGAATTCACGTGCATTTCATTGAGCAATTTACACGGATGGACACGAGCATGTGACGTTGCTGCATTGATACGTGACGTCATTGCCTAATATTTTCTTCGAATATCAAGTCCTGTACATGATCTAGAAAAATATTAGGCAGTAAGATCAAATTGAAAATGTAGAAATTGCCTATAAATAAACATATGACATACCCATGACCAAAATTTATTAAATCCAAAAATTATAAAATGTTATAAGCATAAAAACCAAAAAGTTCTTAATAGACTTGTTAAGTCCTTGAAGACTGAGAATGAATGAGATAAAATAAACTTAAAGAAATAAAAAGAATTTTACAAAATTTGCAATAGCAAAAAACACTGACATCTATAAACAGTTTCTTGAGTATAGAAAAAATTGTGCCACAAGATAAAGGCAATGCATTGAATGTTAACATAATATACAGATATCTAAGTTTTTCATGTTCATCTTTTTTCAGTGCTAAAGTTCATATAGACAGAGCTGATGATGTCAGACAAAGAAACAACAGAGCCTAGAGATCTACCTCCAATCATTCCTCAGTCATTCCCAGAATATATAAATAGCCACTGACTACATAATTACAAATATACTTAAGTTCATTACTGTTTTGGTGCATGTAAACATCAAGGAAATACACATGTATTTTGCAATTTAAGATATTATTTTATTGTTATGTTGAAGATGAAAGAAAACCAATTTTATGATCTCATCAATTTATATGTAGTGTGCTATGGAAGAAGGAATTGCCTGAATTGTTATGTATTAAACATTGTTATAAAACAAGATGTGTGATTTGAGTCATACTTAATACACTAGAAAGCAAATGCTTTCCACTACTATGGTTTAAATCTTAAGTTATGTATATTTTTTTTTAACTTGATGAAGACTAAAGCTGCTGAGTCTTTATGATTTAAAAATACATCCATTTGAATATGTATCATGTTATATTATCATTTGCTTAAACATAGCCAAAATTCACAACGGTATCTGACAAAAACTTGTACTATTTTATTGAATAAATAAGCCTACCTACAAATTTTTGTAGTCTAGGTCATCTAACACACACCATGAAGAACAAGTCAAGGACATCAGCATACCTGCTGCAGTTACACATGAATTTTGACTGTGTTTAAATAATCATTTATGTAGACATTCAAATTGAATTTGTTTGTTTATACTTGATCATGTTTACTATTTTTATAAGTAATACATCATTGAAATGTAAATACATTGTTACATGCTTTTTTTTTTATTTCCACCTCTTTGAAGAATATGCTATTCAACTTTTGGAAAATGTCTCCTTTGAAAAAAATACCCATTTAACTGGTAAAAATTTATTGTTTATATAAAAGCACAAACTCGTTTGGTATATTACCTGCTGTTTTAATATACATTGAATTCTTCACATTTGATTAACCATTGCCGTATGTACCGTATGTATGCGCCCTTGCCCATTGTTGTAGGTGGTTGGATGTATAGATACTCACTAAGTGGTCTTTTTATTTGATGGCAGGTGGATAATTTGTTTCCAAATTGGCAGTCATCCACATTTCTTTGTTTTAAAAAGATATTTCTTTGGGTTTTCTTTAAAGAGGTGGACTGATAAAGCTACCTTTTTTTATATTAACAAAGTGTATTGGATGTGTAGAGTGTATTATTGGATAAGTATCTTTTTTTCATATTTAAAAGATTGAATGGTTGTTAGAGAAAAAAAATATAACCAGAATTTTTGTAGCAAAATGAAGTAGGTCATGAATATTGTTAGAACTTTCTGATAATCTATGTAATATTTTTGTGTTTTAAGCATAAGTAAAAAATATATAGTTTTTATAACAAATAGTGCTTGTTTTGAAATCAACAATAAATTAAAAATATAAACAAAACAATACCAATATCGATTTGTAGTGTAACAGTTATTGTCAGAAATAACAGTCAGAAAATTATAGTAAAACATTGGTACACAGGTACATTTTGGGTCTTGTGGTTATGTTACAAAATGTTTTATAAACAATCTTCATGTTGACAATAGTATCTGGAAGTCCACCAGTATTTACCAATTAACAATGCTGAGAACAATAAACTGACTAAAAGATGGTGAAGTTCAGATGATCCCTAGTAAGATTTCAATGAAGGGTATGACCTGTAAATTTTTTATTTTTGTTTTATTAGCATTTTTAAGATTGTTTCTTGCTGCCTTATATCATTCAGATGCCATTACACAGTGTGTAAATATTTTATTGCTTATGATTTTAATTAATGGGAGATTAAATAAGTCTTTGAGACATTTGCAATATGTGATTTGTGTGAGAGTGTAAGAAAGAAAAATATTTCTTTTATTTTAATGTTGTCTGTGTTTTATTAAAAAAGGTACTTCAACATTGTAATAAAATAACGACTTCTATATGTGAGGGTTGTTTTTAAGAAGATACATAAAAAAGTACTTTAAATGTTATGGACTTCAAATAATGTTGTCCTATAAACACTCTGATAGCTGGCAGATAAAACCAAAAATGAAGGATAAATGAATAAGTAATATACAGATTATGAAAAATCTATTAGGACAAACTTTACAGTGAAAGATTGAAAAGAACAATGTATTGAGTGTTCAATTTTAAATGAGTTTATTTATCAGACTCAATAAATTATTTTCATTTGATTTTAATCCAACAGTATGATTTTGTAAGTCTGGACGTTGTTACAGTAAAGTGCTATTTCAATAGTTCCTAATGATTAAATCTGTGCAATGTTCTCACATGAATAGTATAGTCATTATATAGGGCAGTTTATGGGTGTATATTAGGTTGGTTTTATATAGATAAATGAGGGTGAATGAGACATGTTATTATGTAACTTGTAAATATCTATTGGTTGAGAAAATATGTCAATGATGTTTATGTGAAAATTTGATAAAAGAAATGAGAAATATTGATTTGAATTAAACAAACAGCTGCAGGGTGCCTGATAAATTATGAATATAAGATCTGTTTCTTTAAATTTTTTGAAAATTTCTATCGATATAAAATTTTATAGTGTCTAAATTTCATTTATCATGCCTAATAGGATTGGAACCTACTAGAAATTAAATAGTACAACATAGTTTGTTTATCTGTGTTGATCTGTACCTGTACTTGTGTTATAATTATTCAGAATTTGCTTTAGAATTAATGAGTATATGACTTTGAATTATTTAAGGGATGTTAAATGTGATAGTATCAATAAACTGAATGTACCCATCCTGTCTTGTTATTATACACCCTTTTTCTCCATACTAAGTCAGTGCTTTTCTCTATGTAAATTGTAAATAGCATACTTATGAAAGAAATAAGTGTTATTATTTTCACCTCAGGTTCATGTGGTTTGGTATAGACATATCAGATTTATTTACCAGTGTTTGTACAAATGTTGTAGGTAATGTGACTTATTCTTTCTTTGGTTAAATGCAAATTATTAAAACTGGGGTAATTAACTACAGGTTACATAATTTTTACTGTTAGAGATTGAGAATGCACTTGTTTACTTATTTTCACCCTCTCTGAAAACCATTACACATTTTTAGCTTAACTGGCAAATGATAGTATTGCAATCACTTGGCTTCTGATTTCTGATAACTTTTTATACTTTCTCAATAATGATACTTTCAAACAAAGCTAATATCTTGTCTGTATCTATGAAAAGAACAGAAGACAATACAAATGGGCATTTAAAACCATATCTCAAAGAACAACAAAGCTAAAATAAAAAAAGCTTGCAGACAAAGTACTGTCAATAAACCATTACAAAGAATAACTGGTACTCTACTAAAACTAGGGGTGAGCCTAGGTATTATGATAGGATCAGAAGTTCCTTCCCATCTAGTGTCTCCTGTAAATATCTGTTGACATGTCACATCAAGTAATTAGCTATGATATACTAGTATTAGTGAACTGTAATATGTCTGTTGTCAAACCTTTTTAAGAAACATTACCAATTCATGTAAATGCATTAATTTTGATACATTAATGAATAATACATTTTTTCAGGACATAAAAATGCAACATGAAACCCTTTAAAAACTTGGTTGTTTACAACTTCAGCCTTTGATCTCAGGTGGATAGTTGTCTCGTTGACAAACCACATCCAGGATCCTAGTATGCTCCTTGAAATATTTGAAGGGGATATAGTTATCTTTGTAAATCTGTTCGTGTCTCTGAAACAAAGGGTTTCTGGATGATTACTTGAATATCCCTTGTTCGATTGCCCTACTGCTTTCTATGTTATATTCTGCATTTTTCTAGCATTAATGGCTTCCATGGCTTAACTCTTAAGTTAAAAAAAGTGGCAGTCATTTTGTCAAAACTATACATTATCCTGTGCTAAAAAAATCAATATGCCTTAAATAGCATTTTAGAGCCTTTTGGTTCCCGGAATTTTGATAGTTCAAAACTTGAACAGGTACTTCTGATCTGAACAACAGGGCAAATGTACCCTCCTATTATAATTTTATAATATACTTCCTATTATTTAAACTAAACGTTCAACAAGGTTTCTACAGTGATCCCAAGTCATCAAGCTTTCATTTGAAAGTCAAAAATATAACAAAGATAAATGCGAAAATAATTGAAATTAATATTAAAAAATTCCGCGGAACCCAGTGTCTCGCCTACTTTTGGTGTTAATCGCAGGCTCAACAAAAATGAGGAAAAAAATTATTAAAAATATTCCTCTCTATACTATCTTTTGATTGTAAGTAGCTTCTGTCCAAGTTTGGTAAAAATCCAGGATAATTTATGAATCTAATAAATGTTTTAAAAACTTAAACTGCAGAATGTATGTAATGATGACTGGAAGAAAAACTAAGTCCATTTATAAGTAAAAAAGGAAAAAATGGAACAAAATTTTATCAAAATTTCCTTCTAGATACTAACTTTTGATCATAAACAAGCTTCTGTCCAAGTGTGGTACAAATCCAGGATAGTTTAAGAAAGTTGTTAAAATTTTAAAAACTTTAACCACAGAGTGAATGTAATGTTAACTGGCAGAAAAACTAAGTCCATTTATAAGTAAAATACGGAAAAAATGGAATTTTTTTTTTACAAAATTTACTTCTGGATACTATCTTATGATCATAAACAAGCTTCTTTCCAAGTTTGGTAGAAATCCAGGATAGTTTAAGAAAGTTATTAAAATTTCAAAAACTTTAACCACAGAGTGAATGTAATGTTTCCTGGCAGAAAAACTAAGTCCACTTATAAGTAAAATACGGAAAAAATGGAATTTTTTTTTTACAAAATTTACTTTTGAATATAATCTTATGATCATAAACAAGCTTCTGTCCAAGTTTGGTAGAAATCCAGGATAGTTTAAGAAAGTTATTAAAATTTCAAAAACTTTAACCACAGAGTGAATATTTGTGGACGCCGCCGCCGACGACGACGACGACGACGGAATGTAGGATCGCTATGTCTCGCTTTTTCGACAAAAGTCGAAGGCTCGACAAAAACAAAAAATTACGGATTTGGAAAAAAAGGGGGAGGGATAAAAGAAAATTGTCCTGTCCCTAAGTACTAGTATCTATGTTAAATACAACATTAAATCATTTATAATCATTTGAATAGTTCCAATTCTTTTTTAATACTTTGTCTGGATTGTCATTATAGACGGTGCTATAGATTCTCGTGTGAATATTCTTGTTCAAAGCGACTAAGCGTATATATCAGGTACTTGTGTAACAGTGAAATTCTGTCTTTCCTAGGTAATCAAGTCCGTGACCTTAATTCTACGAATGTAAGTCCGAGGATAAATTTTCCTATGAAAATAAGCCCATTCCTAGTAAATTATGTCTGGCACTTATTTTCCTATGAACATTTTTATATATCTTTATTCTCATTTTTTTTTCAATGAAAAAGTCCCTGTTAAATTTTATTTTTAAGACATTCTTTAAATTAATTAATATTAAAATTAAGAAAGGAACAATTGTAATTATGTACATCATAAAAATCTGTGATATCCATTTTCCTATGAAAATCATATTTGTATATACATATATATATATAGAAGTCTATAAAAAGGACCAACCAGCAAATTTACTATGTACCGGATCGTCTAGAATAGACGATACTGTGCAGATAAGGAAAAAATTATATAAGTCTAGAGATTTGCACAACGATACTTATATAAGATGGTATTATACGAAGATGTTGTTATTAAATCGTGTTGACAAATATTTCGGCTTAACAAATAGCCTTCTTCAGTGTCAATTATTTTAACAATACTGATTATATATATAAATATAGCTCAATAATACAGGTAAGTTTTGGTCTATTGATTTAATCCAAAATCCTGAACATCATAATATAAAACAAAACTCAATACTCAAATATACGTGACTGTGTATATTTACATCCCAAAATGAGTGAAAAATTAAACTTAGTATTTTTTATTGATGCCGTTTGGATGATGTACATTTAGTTCCTTTATCCAAAAGCTTTCCCGAACCTGTCGCTGGGCATCACTCCAGTGAATGTTCTGTTCAATCACTAGGATCTTCATGCGGTTAAAGTCATCAAGTTTGTGACCAGAGTGTCTGAAATGCTGAGAAACTGGGAGAAGTGGCTTCTTAGAGATATCACTCCTATGGCCATTGAGGCGTTTGTGGAAAGGCTGCTTTGACTCACCAACATATTGGAGGCCACAAACCGAACATTCTAGAATGTAAATAACATTCATACTTATGCAGTTAACATTGCAAAATATCCTATAGTTATTTTCGGTTGCCTTACTGTGAAAAGTTGAAGAGTGATGCATCTGTAGGCAGCATTTGCAGCGTTTTTCATCACACGAACGACATTCTCCAGAAGTACTTCTATTATCAGACACTTCAGCCCGCACCAGCAGGTTCCGCAGACTATTGGGTTGCCTAAAAGCTATGGGAGGCTCGGGAAAAATCTTGGATAGTTTGGAATTCTTTTCAACTGTTTTCCAATGCTCACGAATGACACCGAAACTGTTTTTGAGAGATGGGTGGTAAGTAAGAACACATGGAGTCCTTTTATTTTTCTTTTTATATTTGTATTCTAACAGTTTACTCCTTGGAATAGTTTCCGCTTTCTGAAAGCCTTTTTGGATAGTTCTGTGTTTGTAGCCCCTTCTCTTCAAGCGGGTTTCGAGTTGACGTAGTTGTTTTTTAGTTGTTTCTGTGTTGGAACATATTCGCTTGACTCTGAGTGCCTGACGGTACGGGATGCTCTTAGTACAATGAGCAGGATGGCAACTTTTAGGGGACAGATATTGGTGAGTGTCAGTAGGCTTAGAATATAGATCAGTGGATATGATGCCAGCTGTGAGCGAGCTGGAGGTATCGAGGAAGGTGATTTTGGATTTAGATTTCTCATGAGTAAATTTGATACTTGGATGTATGTTGTTGGCATGAGTGATGAATGTATCTAAATCCTCGTCACTTTTATTCCATTTCATATCCACATCATCTATAAATCTAAACCAGGAAAGCGGTTTTTCGATGGAAGATTCAAGGAGTTGTTTTTCTAATTTGCCCATAAATATGTTGGCATATGAAGGAGCCATTTTGGTGCCCATAGCAGTTCCATTTACTTGCAGATAATGATCTCTATCAAAAGTGAAGTTGTTGTTTTTGAGTACCAGCGTGAGCATTTTGACCAGGCATTCAGTAGGTGGATATTTCACTGGTCGGGAATTCCAAACTTCTTTACATGCATCAATGCCATCTGCATGTGGAATATTCGTGCAGAGGGAGGTGACGTCCATAGAGACAAGTGTCGTGTCGGAGGGGAGTGGATTTAAGGCCTGCAATTTTCTAAGATAATCGGTAGTATCTTTGATGTGAGATGGTAAGTCTTCAACATGTTGACGAAGATGGAAGTCAACGAATTCCGATATTTTTTCCGTCGGATGACCGTTCGCTGAAACTATAGGTCTTCCTGGGTTATTGGCCTTATGAATTTTAGGTAAAAGATAAAATCTGCCCGGTTTTGGATTTTCTGGTTTCAAATATTCTAGAGTCTTTTCATCGATGAAACCATCGTTGTGCATTTCTATCAAACTACCAGTTATTTCTCTGCTAAAAGATGTTGTAGGATCAGAGTCTAGTTTTTGGTAGAACCTTGCATCGCCAAGTTGTCGTTCAGCCTCTTGAATATAGGCAGATTTATCATGACAACCACTGCACTGCCTTTGTCTGCAGGTTTAATGACGATATTGTCGTTAGATCGTAAGTTTT